ACTATAATAAGATGGCAGTTATGAAGTCATTTTGGAAAGTCCAGAAATGTTCTGCATGTGAGAACCTTCCTATAAAACGGTATAATTAGAGGGGCGTAAAAGCTTCGTCATGTCCCCATCAGTCTTTGGTAGTTTGTAAACAGCCCTGAGATCTGAAATAAATGTTTGTGCTGAGCACTCGTTCGATGGGTGTAGTTTCTGGGGTGGAAAAATCTTTGAGAGAATCAAAAGATCTACTGTACTTCAGTCTCAGGAATTAGACATGTTGGGTTGTACGCAAACCACACTGGTTGGAAAATGAAGTCTCTTTTCCTTCTGTCCTGACAGAGGCTTTGAAAAGATGTATTGTGATTCAGCATTTTTATTCCTGCCAACAAAGTTTAAAGAGCACAAAACGACCTCTTCAAAACCACTCAGGAGTCAAATCTCCTTCTGGCAGGTCTGAAAATGTTAAAAAGCCAAAATACCTCACCTACATTAATTTGATTTGGTCACTCTGCTGACTGCTGCGTCAGAACTAGACTCAATAATTAAGCTTCATTAAAGCCTTTGTGGCTGATGGTTATCAGTAGAAGTTGTTGGTTTCCTTATTTCCCTTGAGAAATTTAGTCATTAAACTCTCATCAATTTTATCTCAGGTCAGGGAAATCCCTTTTCCTGTATAAATGTGACTTTTAGGATTAAGTGAGACTTAACAAAAATTAAACATTTGCCATATCTGATTGGCTGCTATTACATATTGTTTTTAGGATTTCCTTCATTTGGATAGAGTACAGGGCTTGTCTTTCTTCTGATTGGCCTGCAAGTCAGAAATAGTTACTGTCTTTAAAACGTTTCTGAATTTAGAAAAATAAATCCCAAACCAAGGAGCACTGGTGACACTCCAATTAAAAAAAATCAAACAAGCAAGGAGAAAGGGCTGAGAGTTAAGTCAAAGTGTTGAGGAAAAAGCAAACCTATGCCATTTATTACATTGGTAAACTTTGAATACCAAGATGTTATGTTAACAGCATGATGTGTGTTGGCTAGTTCTGAAGCTCCACAGTGGAACTCAAATAACATCCTTAAACCTTTCACAATAAAAGTATCAAACATAAACACCTCAAAACATCTGAAACATAGAAATAGTTTAAATCATGATTTTTATATGTAAACTTAAAAAGATAACAGTCAAAGGCAATGCTTGCTGCTACAGAAGTAGCCAAAAAACTACACTTTTCAATTAATAAAAGACATTTTGTATTGTTTCTTTCATAAAAATACCCAGAACCCTTGGCTGCAATAATAAAAAAACAAAACAAACACAGTCAACTTCAGAAGCACAATGAGGTTCTTGGGCTAATCTGTAACTGGCATACGTTCAACTCATTTACTATGAAAAATATGTTCCACTTCTTTTTGAGTAATATAATTAATCAAAACATGTCTAAGTAATAAAAAAATGGCAAAACTAAAGCTATGAGTGATATGACGTCACCCTCTAGCTAGCACCATTGGACTTACCTGGTGTCAGGTGGTTGAAAATATTTCTTCTGTTGCTGAAATTTGAAATATGCTTCTGTAGGGAGGGAAATCTTTTCAAGATAAAAATGGTAGCAATCTTTGTAAACATCAGACAACCCAAGCTGTATAAACTGCATTTCATTGTGTGGCTTACTGCATGTTTTTCAATAGGCTCAGTTCATAGCCTCAGCTCACCACTCCATATTGATTTTGTTAAACTCAAATTTCCTCCGACCGCCTTTGAAACCTATTCAGAGCTTCCTGTTGCACTTGGAATTTAGAGATAGGACTTACTCCCTGTACTCATTAGCAGCAAGCTATTTTGCTTTTTCATTTTTTCTCTCTCCAGTGGTCGCTGATTCTGCGAGATGATCTGATTCATGACAGTCTGATGTGAATGTTGACCTCTTACTTCCTCTGCTCTCTGGCACATGTGACTCCTGCTGCAGACATTATAATGCATTACTGCTTTTATCTTTTAACACCCGGAAATGAGGGGGCCTCAAAAATGTGGTGTTGGTTGTGTTGATGTAGCAGTTAATGGTGTAACAATAGCAGCTCAACACATGCTGGCATTTTGAGATTTTGTTGATTTTGGATGTTTCCTTCCAAAAGTCAACCTTTGAGGACTTCAGATAAGACTTTTCGCCAACTGAGGAGCATTGTACTGTGTTTATAAAACATCTCTATGGGTTTCTGCTGCTGTTTATACAAGACACAGGCTTTACTTTAAACAAAGTTATTTCTCTGTGCCTTTTTCAAATTGGATCCCTCGACTGCATAAAAAAAATCAAAGGAATCTTAATTTTTATTTTTAATGAAGCCACAAGAAGGTTAAACTCGGCATATGTGAAGGTAAAAAAACAACTTTGCAAGCTTTAAAGTGATCAGTTTATTTCTTTGTAAGAGGAAACATTATCACATTGATCACTTATATAGGTAGATATGTTCAGACAACTGGTGACAATAAACAGTGTTGACTGAGATGCAAGAAGGTTGCAGATTTGAAACCTGGCTGCAGCCTTTCTGCATGAAGTTTGCCAGGTCTCGCCACACATTCATGACTTTTCTCCTGCCACTCCAGGTTCCTCCCACAGACCCAAAACGTGCATGTGAGATTGATGACTTCTCGTTAGGCGAGTGGAGACCTGAAATGCTTTAAAATATGATATTACAAATGGTTATACTGTGATGTGATGTAAACTTTGAAGGACTCTTGTCTTTGAAGCAATGCAAAATCTGATTAAATGGGAGAAAATACAAATATGACTGAATTTGTGATGTAAAATCTTGAAAAATTTACTTCATACTCTAAACCAAGTGGTTGGTTTAGAATAAAGAAATAGGATTCAAACTAGTGATGTGACATTTATGAACAAATCAAAATTTTGAACAGCTTTTCAAAGGGAATGATGAGAGCCGAATAGTGAACCATTCATCTTGTCTTCCAGTAACACCCCACCCCCAAGAGAGTATTATCCTGCCATGAATCCAGAGCATGTGACCGCAGCATTATCCGAGCATGAAAACAACAATTAATGTTCCCAAATTGAGAAAGTACGTTTGTGATTAATTGCAGAATAATACCCCTATACCTCCGTTCACATGGATATCAGCAGAACGCATGACAATAACAAATATGCATTCCGGAAAGGCGCTGCTCTGGGTGGCTGCATGTTGGAGTAGCTCTGTTGACTATATGTAAGTTTAGCCTTTTTTGGGGCATTTTTTTCTTCTAGTTTCTCAAGAAAAACTATTTTTTTGACATTTTACTTTTCTGTTTCTGGTGCTGTGAAGCTTAGAGGACTTACTGCAATTGTTTTCACTTTTTGAGCATTTGTTATGATGCATAACCATGGCAACAAGCTGGTTTACAATCGGGAGCAGCTGATTAACATTGGAAAGGCTGAAATAATACCTTAGCTGAAGCCAAAAATCCCAAATGAGCTAAAACGTGAGAAGCATGGGTGCAGAGCGGCAGCAAAACGGAGACAGAGAAAGCGTAAATTCAAACCATCTCTTCCATCGATCATAATGGGCAATGTGAGATCACTGGCCAACAAGATGAATGAAATCCAAGCCCTTTCAAGGACTCAGCCAGAGTATAGGCAGTGCAGTGTTATGTGTTTCACTGAGATGTGGCTGCAGGACCATATCACCGATTCCAGTGTCTCTCTGCCAGGATTCCTGACTGTACGAACAGACAGAGATGTGAAGAGGAGCAGGAAAAGAAAAGGAGGTGGAGTGGCAGTGCTTGTCAACAACAGATGGTGCAATCCAGGTCATGTTTCAGTGAAATGTTGTCTCTGCAGCTCAGATGTTAAACTCTTGGCAGTAAGTTGTCACCCATATTATTTGCCAAGAGAGTTCACCAGTATTGTCTTGGCAGCTGTTTATATTCCACCTTCAGCCATTGCTGAAAGTGCATGTGATGCCATCTGTTCCGTTGTCGCTAAGCTACAAACCCAGCACCCCAATGCATTTGTGGCTATCTGGTGATTTTAATCATGCCTCGCTCTCTGCTACACTTCCAACATTTCAACAGTTTGTCAGCTGCTCCACCAGAGAAAACAAGACATTGGATTTGTGTTATGCAAATGTATAGAATGTATACATGTCCAAAACAAGACCTCCTGTAGGACAATCAGACCACAATCGTGTTTTTCTCTGCTCAGAATACAAACCACTTGCTCAGAGGCAACCTGTGACAAGAAGAACTGTGAGAAAATGGTCACAGGATGCTGAAGAAGCCCTGCAGGGTTGTTTTGAGACCACAGATTGGATGACTCTCTGCCAAGGATATGAAGAGGACATAAATGCCATGACTGGATGTGTCACTGACTTTATAAACTTCTGTGTTGACAACATCATACCCACCAGAACAGTGAGATGCTTTGCTAATAACAAACCCCGGATCACCAGTGAACTGAAGAATCTGCTAAATGAGAAAAAAAGAGCCTTCAAGGAGGGAGTCAAGGAATTATTGAGGAGTATACAGAAGCAACTGAAGATCAAAATCAGAGACAGCAAGAAGGCATACAGGAAGAAGCTGGAGAACAAACTACAGAGGAACAATGTCAGAGATGTCTGGTCTGGGATGAAGAAGATCACAGGCTTCAAGCAGAGGAAGGGTTGCACAGATGGCAGCCTGGACACAGCCAATGAATTGAACAAGTTCTTCAATAGGTTCAGTTCAGGAACAAACCCAGCATCCTCCTCGCCTGTCCCCAGCCAATCAGACATCCCATCCTCCTCTGATCCAACATTTTCCTGTCACACGCCAGCTCTTTTGTCCTCTAACACAGTCATGGACTCTTCTGGTTCTATAAATCTGTCTTCAACCAAGTCAGGAGATGCTGCTGCCACATTTACCTCCCCCCATCTGTCTCTAGAAGGTGAAGGGGCAGCTGGAGAGACTGAACAGGAACAAGGCTGCAGGTCCAGATGGTGTCAGCCCCAGTGTTTCTACTCGGGTCGAAAGAATCCACGCTTCGTACTGATGTCCACAATTATTTTATTTCTCTCTGACAATCATGGAGCACCGTGAAAACTAGAAACAAGTAAAATAATATCAATAGCACATATGATATTCATCTCAGCCACTTATTTCCTTTCGCAAGTGTACAAGTGTTAAACGAAGAACAGTATAACGTTTTTTACCGTGTACGCCTTGTAAACCCAGCAGTAGAAAAGATGTATGTTCCAAAAGTCCGCCGTGTTACCGCTCCGTGTCGTCTCTCCCGCGACTCACAGGAAGCGACTACCTCACAACAATCTCAACAGAAACATTTCTTATAAGAAAGACGTATAACTCCACTGCACAGGTCCACAATATGAGTACCAAATAAAGAAAACAAAACAGAGACAACGTACCGATCTCCGATGCGCTGCTGGTGTTGTCATGGCAACCAACACAAACATTTCAACGTCAGTTACACTCCCACCAATTACCTTTGATTATTACAATTGCGAATATAAATACACTTGTATTGTTCATTAAATCAATGGTAATTCCCAAGCACCATGTTGTTATGTTAAAACACTCTTGCATTGACATAAACAATATACTTTTCTCAAACAATGAATTCAACAATATGAACAGAATTTACATCTCCACAACATGTGCATGAAGTACAGCATAATGACAACTTGTATTTTAGAAGGGAAATCTAATCAATGAATGACATATTTTTCTCATTTTCTACCAGGACCACTAATTTCTGAATGGGTCTTTGAATGACGGATGGTTGGACGAGGCGTTCGCCTCTCTTTCCTAATTTCCGATCACCAGTCTGGATTGTCACCTTCCGTACAAGTCCATCATCATCCTCATGTGCTTCCACAACCCTAGTTAGTTTCCATTCATTGCGAGGAACATCTTCTTCTTTGAGAATCACAATGTCACCCACCTCCACATTACGTCTTGGTGCATGCCATTGCTGTCTCAGAGCAATATTGGCCAGGTATTCCTTTCTCCATCTGTGCCAAAATTGCTCAGTCAGATATTGGACCCTTCTCCACCATTTCTTAGCATACAGGTCCTCCTTTAATGTGCTGCTCACAGATGCCGAGGTTACTGCTGCAGTTAACTCTAGTCTCGGTATGGTGACTATTTTGGTTGGTGCAACCCTCGCCTTGCCCATGATCAAGGAGCAGCATACCCTTTCTCTGCTTACTACTCTGATGTAAGAGCACTGGCCATACCCTTGACTGCTTGCATCAGAGAAATGATGAAGCTCGGCTCTCTGAATCTCACCAAGGCTGTCAGGTATGAAGCATCTTTGAATTTCAATTCTTTCCAGGTTCTCCAAATCCTTCATCCAAGTCTCCCACCTTAACTTCAAGTCTTTGGGTATCTTTGACCAGTTCAATTGCCTCACCCACTGACTTTACACTTATGAGACCATCGTCGACATAGAAATGTTTCTGGATGAAGCTAGCTGCGGAGGGGTACTCTTTCTCACATTGGCTGGCAAGGTGTTTCATGCCATAATTGGCACAGCCAGGGGAGGATGATGCTCCAAACAGGTGAACCTTCATGCGGTACTCTCTGGGTTCTGAGTTTGTGTCTCCATTTTCCCACCAGAGAAATCGCAGGTAGTCTCTATCATCCTCGCTCACATGAAACCTGTGGAACATTTTCTCCACATCACACATGACTGCGATGGGATATTTACGGAAGCGGCACAGCACAGCTGTTAGGCTATTTGTGAGGTCAGGTCCTGTTAGCAGATGGTCGTTTAAGGAGGTGCCTTCATACCTTGCAGAGCAGTCGAAAACCACTCTGATTTTGCCTGGTTTTCTGGGGTGGTAAACTCCTTGATGTGGGATATACCACACTTTCCCCAGCTCTGCTTGGTTTTCCACTTTCTCTGCATCTCCATCCTTGAAGACACCTTCCATAAATCTCACGTAGTCTATTTTGAATTTGGGATCTCTGTCCAGCTTCCTCTTTAGATGCTTCAACCGTACTAATGCCAGCCTTTTGTTGTCTGGGAGATGTGGACGTGCTTTGAAAGGGAGAGGCATCTCCAGGTGACCCTCCTTATTTTGTTGGATCCTCTCTTTCAAGATCTGCAGGAAGCATATATCTTCTTGAGATATGCTTCTGTCACCAGATTTTGTGTCTGCAAAATCGGACTCTAGGGCCTTGATGACAGCAAATGGCGTTATGGGTGGCATCTCTCTGACAGACACTCGATGGCAAAAACCAGTCACATCTTTAGCTTGCACACGCTGTGGTGCGCTTCCCACAATGCTCCAACCAAGGTCCGTCTCAATAGCATAAGGCTCATAGTCGCCCCCAGTGATGACCCTTCTTGGAATTAACGCTCTGGAGCAGTCATATCCAATCAACAATCCAACACCACAGTCCATCAACGGGGGTATCTCTTGGGCCATGCTTACAAGGTGTTTCCATTTGTTGGCTGTCTGACAAGTGGGAATATGTGCACGGTCAAGAGGAATGAAGTCCCTTGTGTAGGCTGGAGGCAAATTGATGGAAACGTTAGAGGAAAATCCTCTAACTTTGAGCTTGCATACTCTTTGACTCTTCACGACTGAGTCTCTCCCCATCATGGTGGAAAGTTTAAGTTTCACTGGTTCCATTGCTGCTTTTAGCTTTTCGCACACCTCCTGATCAACAAATGTGTGACTGCTTTGAGTGTCCAATAGTGCATACACTAGGGTTTCAGTGTCCGGAGCGCTAAGTGTTGAGATCCACACTGGGACTATCATCGACGTACTCCCACCTTCACCTCCACTCACACAACATGATAAAGATGACGTACTTTCTTCCACTGCACCCTGAGTTGATGATTCTCCTGCTGTAGAACGATCTTCATGCAATGGCGTTGGGTGACTCTTTTTGCATATGCTACATGTGGACCTGTTTCTACAGTCTTTAGAATTGTGACCCTTTCTTAGACATGCAAAACACAACTTATTTTCAAGTATGCATTTTTTCTTATCCTCTACAGGCATGTCCATAAGCCTCTTGCATTTATGTATGGAATGGTTCTCACTACAGCAAATACACTGGTCACTATTGTAATTTTGTGTTGGTGTGTTCCATTTCTTTGGTTTCTCTACCTCTCCCAACTTGATTTGACCAGGGTCAGATTTGGTGGTGGAGTTTGATGGAATTGAAGGTTTCACATTTGTGGCAAACGTGTTTGCTTTTGAACGCTTCATTTCTCTTGGTGGTGCCTCTGCAGAGTGCCTTAAGGCATGTAAGGATGACACTGGATTGCATGCTATGCGTGACTCCTTAGAGACAAAGGAAGCAAACTCATGAAAGCTTGGATAGTCATTGCCTCGATCTAGCTGCTCTGTAACATAACGGTTCCATCTACATGTCACCCAATCAGGAAGCTTGACTAATATTTTCTGATTCTCCTCGCAGTCGTTAAGAGCCTGTAAGCCCTTTATGTGGGGCATTGCATTACTACATGTTTGGAGGAAATCACTGAACTCTCTTAGCTTGAGATATTCCTTTCCTCCAATCTTCGGCCACCCATTTAACTTCTCTCTGAAAGCCCGCTGTACTACAAAGGAATGGCCATATCTAGCATTTAACCTATCCCATGCCTGTTGATAGGCTTCTTCATCTTTTCTGTAGAAGCTGCCTTCAAGAGAAGATTTTGCCTCGCCTGCTATGTACTTTTGCAGGTAGAATAGCCTGTCTGCAGGGTCAGAGCATCGTCTCTCTATGAGGGCTTTGAAGCTCATGCTCCATTCTGTAAACTTCAGAGGATCACCCGAGAATACAGAAGGTTCTGGAGTTGGCAAGCGGGTGAGAGCTAATGACTCTTGTAGCGATTTGACCAATGATGTCTCGTTTTGCACAACCTGCCGTTCTTGATCTGGGATGTGGTGAGCGAAGGGGTGTGCATCACTCACTTTGCTGAATGGAGGACTGCGTGTCCCATCCCTTTCCTCTTCTTCAGTGTAGACATTTAGCCTTGCCTGAATTACATCAATGTCCCTCTGGTTTTCCAGTTTTCTCAACTGCTGACGTTGAGCTTCGATGGCAGCTTCCATATCAACTTCAGCTCTCTTTGCAGCCAGCTGAGCAGCCGCTTCCGCCCTCATAGCCGAAATGCTAGGTGACTCTGAGAGATGTTTAGAATTGTGACAGCTGGGTGAAGTAACTCTGGAAGCTGTGGATCCATATATGGACCTAGCATATTCATTATCAAGTAGCATGCGTAACCTTGATCTTTCTGCCACTGTGTCAAACTCATCTTCATCTTCAGTGAGACGTACTCTCATCAGCTGCAGCAAGTCGGCTGTCACAGCTGAGCATGCATCAATCTTTCTTCGAATTTCTTGACTTGGTGAGGTTTGGAGTCGAATTCTGTCATACTGTTCCTTTAATTCAGACTCTTGCTTCTCAGCCTCATCCATCATATTATACATGTCACTCTCAGAGCATACTTGCTTTAACCTTGTGCGAATGTCTCTTACGTTGCTTCTCCACTTCTCATATGTTGCTTTGAACCTCTTCTCCTTTTGAGTTAACTCTTGATCTTTCAGTTCCTGCATTTTTGGTGTTAATCGCCTTTCACGAGAGGATTTTCTTGTTTTTGTCTCAGATTTCTCAGACACTACACTTCTTTCCTCTTTCATATCCCCTGCATCTTGGACTTTTGACATAACATTAGGATGACTATGGTCATCTTTAGACATTTTCAGACTTTAAAAGGGGTATCTTATGAAGGGACAAGATATCTAAGGTAATTACAAGAATGGAATGGATGCAATAGGTGGAGAATTATTAAAATTAACACAAGGCACTTTAGCTTAGTTTCTTACACATGACAGTAAATAAACTTCAGTTTCAGCCTTCTTAAAGCTTGCAAACAATAAGTAAGAAAACAACAATAAGTTCCAGGACTTGAACAGATTGTCCTTTTTTTTTTCTTTTTCTTTTTTTGTTACACAGTCTGAAGTTTGAACACAATTAATTTCTTGTCCATTATAGCAAATTTGTAGCTCATGTTCTATCCATCAACACAGGAGGCATAACAGCTGCGTAATATAGCCTGATGACTCACGCTTCTTGAAACCGCTTCTTGAAGTGTCCACTGAATATGCAGCTCCTGATTGGTTGCTCCAAAATGCAAAGCAACGTGTCCACTGAAGCCTGTAGCTCACTGTAGCTTGCTGCAGGATGACGAGAGCTCTGCACACCGAAGCCTCCAAATGGATTGGGCCAACGTTTTCACTGTTTCTACTCGGGTCGAAAGAATCCACGCTTCGTACTGATGTCCACAATTATTTTATTTCTCTCTGACAATCATGGAGCACCGTGAAAACTAGAAACAAGTAAAATAATATCAATAGCACATATGATATTCATCTCAGCCACTTATTTCCTTTCGCAAGTGTACAAGTGTTAAACGAAGAACAGTATAACGTTTTTTACCGTGTACGCCTTGTAAACCCAGCAGTAGAAAAGATGTATGTTCCAAAAGTCCGCCGTGTTACCGCTCCGTGTCGTCTCTCCCGCGACTCACAGGAAGCGACTACCTCACAACAATCTCAACAGAAACATTTCTTATAAGAAAGACGTATAACTCCACTGCACAGGTCCACAATATGAGTACCAAATAAAGAAAACAAAACAGAGACAACGTACCGATCTCCGATGCGCTGCTGGTGTTGTCATGGCAACCAACACAAACATTTCAACGTCAGTTACACCCAGAGTACTGAAGGCTTGTGCAGAGCAGCTCTGTGGGATTCTGTAGCACCTCTTCAACCTCAGCCTGGCCCAGGAGAAGGTTCCAGTCCTGTGGAAGACATCCTGCCTTGTTCCAGTTCCAAAGAAAACTCGCCCATCAGTCAATGACGACTACAGACCAGTTGCCCTGACATCCCACATCATGAAGGTCCTGGAGAGACTCCCGAATAAGCAAACTAGGACATATCAGGACCCGCTGCAGTTTGCTTATCGCCATGGAGTTGGAGTTGAAGATGTCATCATCCAGCTGCTTCAACCAACCCACTGTCATCTGGACAAAGCAGGCAGCACTGTGAGGGTCATGCTATTGGATTTCTCCAGTGCATTTAACACAATCCAGCCTGATGTACATAGCCAGAAACTCCAGAAGACACAGGTGGGGGCCTCAACTATCGCATGGATTAAAGACTGCCTGACAAACAGACCACAGTTTGTGAGGCTGAAGAACTGCATATCAAACCAGGTGATCAGTAACATTGGACCACCACAGGGGACTGTACTCTCACCATTCATTTTCACCCTGTACACCTCAGACTTCCAGTACAAATCAGAGACCTGTCATCTACAGAATTACTCAGATGACTCTGCAGTTGTCGGGTGTA